CGCGATATCATTGACGGTTTCTTTAATACTGTCTAGTGCATGCGGATTGCTAACTTATTAGCTGTAAGCTAACTTGTTTGCTGTAATGGCTAATTTGGATAACTTTTACAGCTAATGATTATTAATCTGTATAGCAATTAAAGATTAGGTGCTATAGCAAATAATTTGCTCACTCAGCTAAATTATTAGCATCAACAGCTAATAAATTTCTGCTAATGCAAATTTGCTGCTGTTGCTAAAGTACACGGAGAAAATTTGTTCCTTACATTTTACAAATAAATGCTTTTAAATCATGTAAAAAGAAAATATAAAATGGCAATAACATACTTATTTTTTAAACATATAATTTATTCATTTTAATTAAATATGAATAATAGTAAGTAAGTAAGCAAGCAAGCAATCAAGAAAGCAAGTAAGTAAGCAAGTAAACATAAGTAAGTAAGCAAAAAGGAAATAAATAAGTAAGCAATTAAACATATAAGTAAGTATGTAAGTAAATAAGTAGGTAAGCAAGTAAGCAAAAAGGAAATAACTTGCTTGCTTACTAGCTTACTTTCTTATTTGCATACTTACTTACTTATTTCTTTCTTGCTTACTTTGCTTACTTGCTTACCTACTTATTTGCTTACTTCCTAATTTCCTTCTTGCTTACTTGCTTGTTTCCTTTTTGCTTACTTACTTCCTTATATGCTTGCTTGCTTTCTTATTTCCTTCTTGCTTACTTTGCTTACTTGCTTATTTCCTCCTTGCTTACTTTGCTTACTTGCTCATTTCCTTCTTGATTACTTACTTTCTTATTTGCTTACTTTCTTACTTGCTTATTTCCTTCTTGCTTACTTTATTCCTTATTTGCTTACTTGCTTATTTCCTTTTCGCTTTATAATACCTCACAATTATTATTTAATATTTCAGAAAGATTAATTTTCTATTAATTAATTTAATAATTTCCAACTTGCACTTTTAATATGTACATTTTTAATTTTAAACACAAAAATTTGAGAATAATAAGGATTTTCATAAATTATTGTTTTATTCCATTAAATACAAATTTAAACATTTTTCTTTATAATAATAAAAACATAATTTAAAAATATTTCATAAATTAACCTTCAATATAGTTAGAAATGATTCATTAATATAAATAATTTTTAATTTTGTACAACGATAGTTTATTAATTTGAATCTTTCTCACAAGCGGTGAAATAAAATTGAGATTAATATATAAGGACAGTTGAAACTTTCTGAAGCATTAATGTAACGCGTGCGACGTGTGTATTAGTGTATGCGTTTAGAATGTACTGTACACGGAAAAGTTCTTGGGCGAGTCGCTGTACCTGTTGTGGTGGCGCTGAGTGACCAGTACCTATGGTAAAGTGACAGCCCCATTTTGGTAGCTCATTTCACCCACAGAGACTGCTGCTTTCCTACTGTGGGGCGTCAGAGCTCTCTTGTGGGGCATCAGAGCTCTCTTTAGAGAGAAAGCAGAAAACCTTTTCTGTGGGAGGCGAGTGAGAGACGTCTGCTCGCCCAAAAACTTTTCCGTGTACACGGAAAAAATAAGTTCAGCAGATTTTACGAAACTAATTTCGCACTAGCGGATATTTAAGATTCCTTGACGAAGTTTTTCAAAAACCCAGAAACTTTCACTACTTTAAGCAGAATAATTTTCGAGAAACTGCAACCAGTTTTGTAATTTCTAAAACAAGCTTGAATGTAGAAATGTTTCGTATTTTCTGGTGAACATTTTATCAAAAAATGGTAAAAATGTTTCGTGCAATCTAAAAACGCGTGGTTTGAGTTTCCACTTCGCTGTCTATCGTGAATTCTCGAACACAGAGTTTCGTAAAATTCTATACGGGGTGTACCAAAAGTCGCGTTATAAATAGATATGTTGAAGCTTGTCTCGTCGCGTCGGTATTAACTTGTCTGCTGTATATAGAGATAATATGTGGAAGGAAAAAGAGAACTGCTTTACCTGCTGGTAACATTTGGATAATTGTTTTCTTTTACGTATTTCACATTTCATTGTTCCAAATTCGTAACATTTTTTATGTGATTTTGTAATCCAAACTTTTAATTATTATTAATTTCTTTTAATTTACATTCCAATAAATTTTATAGTTTATCATAATATTTACCGATGACAATAAATGAACATATATATTAATTTCTCAAAATTTTAATTAATTCTAATTTTTATTAGTTTTAACTGTTATTACTTCAAATTTTAGACAATTTAATATTAAAATTTTTTGAGTTTGAATTTAATTTTGAAAATTTTTTTGCAATTTATTTATAATTTAAAATTAAGAATAAAATTATTTTTTAAAAATTGAAAAATTTTATAGAGATTTTATAACCAATTATAATCAAAAAATGTTATTTTAAAAACCATAAAATATTTTGTATAACTTTTAAAAAAATGATTTTTTTTAAAAATTAATATTTAGTATATTGACATTTCTCACAAGCGCAGTTTTAATCTCCTCAGTTAGTATATAAAGAAACTCAATTCTTTCATCTACAATGCGAGTTATATTGTATGTGCGTTGCGTCAGAATTCGTTTATATGTATGCGTATTTCCGTTAAGTTTGTGTCAGAATAAAATAAGCCAATCCAAGCGAACCATTGCGTTGTAGAGTGCAGTCACATGTGTCGAACCAATCATCTATCTCCTATAGAAGTCGAGAAAAAATGGTCTTGAGAGCTCATTGGTACATTAAGAAATTCTTTTTTCTGCTTTATTCGTTTTTTTCTCCGTGAATATTTTTTTCCGTGGCGCATGCGCTTCAGGCTAAACGTTTTACAAAACTCTTGAATTAGAACGTCCAACCGATCATTTGTGAAGTCCATAGAATTTTTTTTGAGTTTTCGAGAAACGCAGTCATCATATATTACTATTGATTCTGTTTTATCTTATACTAAACTCCTCTCCGTATCCGCTATTCCAAAATTAGTTTCGTAAAATGTACTAAATTAATTTTTTCCGTGTAGGCAGGTGTATCAATTAGTATTTGTTCGTAAACAATTGTAGGGGGTTTGGGTAGTGATTAAAATAGGTAAATTGAGAGTTACGGCAGTATTAATATAGATCTACTGAAGTAACATTATTTTTTATTTTTGTTCTTCAAGTTTTACCGAACTTTCAGTAAATTGCAACTCGTCAGTTTTACCGAAGACTTTATCTTACGTTTTACCAAACTATTCAATAAATTGCAACTCTTCAGTTTTACCGAAGATTTTATCTTACGTTTTACCGAACTATTCAATAAATTGCAACTCGTCAGTTTTACCGAAGACTTTAACTTACGTTTTACCGAACTATTCAATAAATTGCAACTCGTCAGTTTTACCGAAGACTTTATCTTACATTTTACCGAACTATTCAATAAATATGAATGTAGCGAGCACTTGGCTTACGTTTTACCGAACTGTAAGTGAAGCGCTAATACATGTATCGTGAGCTTTATGATTTTTACATTATTTTTCAATGCAATTTCTTTTACAGTCTAGTTCTTGAAAAATTACTGTTTTGACACTTCATCCCAGTTTTACCGAACTAAATTCAGTAAAATTTCAGGAATAAATTTTCTTTGTGTATTTTTCTCCGTGATTAAATCTCAAAAAAACGTTTTTTTCTTTTTTTAAACAGAATAAAAAAAAATTATTCTAGACAAATTTAACTTTTGAATGAAAATATTGTGCATACTCTAAATCGGAAGAAAGTGAAAATTTCACTGATTTCAATTCAGTGGAAAAGTTTTCTTTTATGAATCCGTGAAATTTCACTGAGAATCAATAGTTTTTACTGATTCTTAGTGAAATTCCATTAACGAATTAAAGAAAACTTGACCACTGAATTGGAATCAGTGAAATTTTTACTGATTTAGATTTAGAGTGGAACATTTTCCATTATTTTATATAGCATTAAATTCATTAATAATACTAATTTTAGTCATTGATGACAAATTTCAACAATTTTGTTAAACAAATTGCAGCACCTCGCACACTTTAAATTCATCTATCAATAAATAACAAGAATTGCAATGTAATTGTCTTCATTTCCTGATCTTGAGACTTTACATATAATATTCCTACAAAGTATTATAATTTTAAAAATTAGTCTGCAACGATTTTGGTCGAAATATAATGGATTGACTACTCTATTATACTTAACGATAATATATAATTTATATAATAAAATATATATACCTAATATATAATTTAAGTCTAACCCCTTAATATTAATATAGAAAATATCTACAGCTTTTATTTAAATATACTTCTTGTTTAAAATATACATATTTGATTAAAAAATGTATTATTTTTTGGTTTAAAATAAGATAAAGCTAAGGTAATTTATGTATAATTTACAATCAACCATGATTTATGTTTGAATTAAATATATTATATATTTGTTAAAATAGACCAAAAATATTTTTGAATTAAACTTAAATATAATGTTTGACTGCATAACAAAGTTTAATTTAAAAAATCATGTTAAATTCAAGTGAATGGTTTTCTCAGCGTAATTGCATTTATTTACTGAATGTATGTGTACTTGAAGTGGTTTGTAACGTATAATTATTTTTTATATAATTGTTCCTATTTGTTAAATGCCGATAAAGTTTTCTTTAACAAAATTCAATGTCATAAATTGTTACACAATTCCTGTCGTTCTTCTTATTCGTAGAAGACATGTATTCTTCTATATATGTATACAATAATATATCTAGTTAAAGTCCTGACCCTACTAAGTTATGTAAGAATTGATCGTTCTCGTTTAGAGTAATACTATATAAGCTAGTCTATTTTTGAAAATTAGAGTTTCTAACAAAAACGTCTGCAATTGTCTAAATATTAATAATTTTGTTTAAATCTGATAATAATGTTTGTAGAATAAAAATATACATTATTTTCCGATATGTTCTCATGTTTTGAAGAAGTAATTATGAGATAAATTTGACTGTGAAAATGTAATAATAATTATAGAACTTACCATTATTAAGAAATGTGAGGAAGAATAATAACAACAATAAAGTGCCGATAGATCCAAATCCGGCAGTATTCGTCATCGTCACGATCACCGGTTCATGTGTTTCAGTAATCCTATTACAGTCACCTGCGCGGTTTTTGTTCACCTGCAGAACGACACTTTTCAATCGATTCCCAATTATATAAATATCATCTTCATTTAATATAAATAAATTTCTATATTTATGAAGGTAAAGTAATTTTTATCAGTTTTCAATTTCGAATTCTCAAGAAATATATCCTTTTTTTATCAAAATTTTTAACAAAAAAAATTGAATATGCAATTTATTTTATTGACAGAAGCTTTAAAAAACAAAAAGTTTTGAATTAAAAAAGTTAAAGTATTAATAACTAAACTATTTTAATGAATTTCAAATGTCACAGCTCGAGAAGTAAATGAAAGCTGATTTGAACCCTACCTGGAGGTAATTATCTAATTATGCGGAGTAAAATAATTGTAGTGGACTATGCAGTTGAATTGCAAGCATCTAAGAATCTTTCGTTGTTTAACAACACTTGTTTATTTCTGTAAATATTTGAAAACCGGGTACAATCGACATTAACAGTTTTGTAAACGCACAACAGGACGGATGTTAAAGACGATGCGCACAATGCGGGGTCGCGACTGTTTCTGTGGTTCGTTTAAGCCGCAGTCGCGGGTTTCGACGTCGCGATTGCAGCGTCGACGCAAAACGTCAAAAACACTTTAACGATAACGAAACGAAAACTAAAGTCTTTTGGCTATTTTACACTAGTGTCAAGTATTAAAAACTTTACACAAAATGAAAAAGAATATTAGTTTAAAATATGTAAATTTAAATCAATTCAAACGTTTCTAAAATTCAAAAGTATGATTTTTATTTTTATTATGGTTTTTGAATTTTTGGAAAAAATTTATAAATTTCGTTGAAATTATTATTATTTAATCCAGTATGATGAATATTTGAAGTCAGACCGAGACTGTAGGACACATTTCCCAATCCATTATTCCCACTCCAACCTTCCCGACGGACATATTTCCCGCAACCAATAATTCCCAAAGAAAGATTTTTCCATTACCTAAATTTCCCAATGCTGAAATTTTTCCCAATATAGGGCAAAATTCTTTAACTGTCATGATCACAAAATAAATTTTCTCGAAATTTTGTCAAAATGTTACTATTATTACACAGTAAAAACCAAGTCTTAAATTTAATGGTGGCTAGTTTTAATTTTTGACTTATCTTAAGCTATCAACTTTATTTAATCATAAAAACTAACTGAAAATTAAAGTTAGTTGTACTCTTACTTAAATAAAACTCAGTTTGTAATTTATTTGTAATACACCGGACTTAATTTCAGATCCAATGGTATTAATAAAAAGTTGGATGAAATTAACTTCTAATAAGGTACGCTAACAGCTGACTGTAAGTCTGGCGAGGCTGAAAAAGTTGATTGTGACGTCACAAGGGACGCAATTTGCAAACGTGAAAAGTCTGAATAGCGCGTCGCGTCGCCGGTTTACTTTTGACTCGTGTTTTATTAATAATATATAAGTCCATAAATTATATTTATAATTGGTGAATCTTAGACAGAAAGTTTAGTTTTATTAGTATGTTAATATTTTAATTCGATTATAAACAAGTTTATAAACAGTTTATAATCTTAATTTCACCTAATGTATATGTGCATTAGCATTTAATTCTTTATCTTAAAGAGAGAAATTTCCACTGATAGTTTTAATAATTGTTGTTTGTTATAAGAAATTAAATGTGACATATGTTTATTTTAATAAAATTCAAGAATATGAACATACACTGTAAAAACAAAGTCTTTCTCGAAATTTGTCTTTTTTCAAGGTGTAAACGGAAGACTCCCCAATTGATACAAGTAAGGTGTTAAATAAACTGAAATTCAACTGTAAGCTTGTAAGAAGGCTGAAATTTGGCTAAATGGTTTGGCTGAATTTTAGCCTTCTTACTAGCTTACAGTTGAATTTCAGTTCATTTAACACCTTACTTGTATCAATTGGGGAGTATTCTTTTTAAACTTCTAATCATTACTGACATTCAGCCAATATGGTCTACTTCCGTTTACACCTTGAAAAAAGACAAATTTCTGGCTTAAAGGAAGACTTTGTTTTTACAGTGTTGGTTCTATTTAGAAAAATGAAAAGGGCCCATTTTGTCGGTCATTTGCAAAAGAAGTCCTTATTTTAAAAATGCAATTGGGGTAAATATAAACGGAATATCTATTTTTCACCAAAAACATTAGTTTTTTTTTGTTAAAAGGTAAAACGGACGGATTTCTTTTGCATGAACTTGTTACTAGAGTTCCCTAGAAAAATGTTATGAGGTACAAAAAAATATTGATGCACCTGAATCGCCTAAAACTGACTGTTTACATTTACCCTGAGATTTTGAAATTTTCCTAAAATTCGGGGTAAATGTAAACACCAATGTAGTTAAGCGAGGTTTAAAAAACAAGTTATTTCAAGTATACTACTGTTTTAAGAGATGGAAAAACTAAAAAAAAATTCTTCGTAGATGTATAGTAAATCAACCAGTTGACTGATAATGTATTATATAAAATAAACAATCAACCATTACAAAATTAGTAATGTAAAAACTTGAATAACTTGAACAAATTTTAATAAATTTTCATTCAACTTGGTAAAAAGAAGTTTTTTTTATTTTGATGAATAAGAATCTAAAATCGAATTTTTAAATTTCAAAATGGTGGATCCAATATGGCGGTCAAACATAAAATATTGTTAAAAATTGATCAAATTTGCTTGAATCTGGCTACTCGGGGGTTTTTGAGGTCGCTGAATACGAATTTGAAGTCAAAATTTAAATTTTCAAAATGGCGGATGAACCTAAAAATATTTTTAAAAATTGATCAAATTTAAAAAAAAAATTTTTTTTTTATCAAATTTTTTTTTAAAGAGGACTTAATTTTCTTTTCTATGTAATTTTACATTGCCAAATTAATGAAATTGTAAAATAGAAGCAAATTTATTCAATTATTTTCTTTTAAAATGTAGTTGAAGTTCTGTTTACATTTACCCCGAGTTTTCGAATTCTCAGGGTAAATGTAAACACTTAATTATTTCGGTGATTCTTCATTCAGTGGTCACTTTTGCTTCCACACTGTTCCCTATTTAATAACTTGAAAGATTGTTATCTAATCTACTTCAACCTCTTGCATAATTAATCTTCAATATGTTTTTTAGTAATATCATAATCGAAAAAAATTTTTAATTTAAAAAAAAAGTTGTAATTCAATTGCAAATGTTCAAAAAATGCACATTTGTCGTTTCTCCACACATGAATCATTAAGTTTAATATGTTTTATTTTGCACAAACTTTATTTTAAACGTTTTTTTAATTATTCTATTCGAAAGTTCATCTCAAAAACTAAGTTTTTGTGTGTCGTTTTCTAATTTCCATTAACAAATCTGTGTAAAAATATTTTTTCAATATTTTCCCCACTCTTTTTTTATTTGGAACAGGAGCTTACAATTTCATTGATTTTCATTATTTTGTTCCCTTTTTTAGTGCGATTTTATTTGCCATTAATATTATTAAGTTAATAAGTTGTATTTATGTTAAATTTGCAAAAAGAAATATAATTTTTAGATTTAAAACTACAGAAGTTACTATTATTTTATAGCGTATTTTAATGGTATGTAAACTCCAGTTCCGCCAAAATTACCGAATTCTAAATGTATAAAAAAAATAAAAATAATAGTGATTTAGAGTAAGCAAATCTCTTTAATAATCTGCAAAAATTGTTTATTTTTATGAATTTTTACGGTTTTAATTAATTTTTTTCTTTGATTTGTAAACTTTAGTTCCTAATTTCGTTTCGCGTAATGGAAGTGTTTTGTTTTTTTGAATGAATATTATTAACCTCGATTAACCTGTATCAAAACATGTAATTCCAATAACAGGTATGAGTAAAAATATTATTTATTTATTTATTAAAGCAGTTTAAAGTAATTATTTGCTTATTTACACTATTTATAATTATTAACAATCGAAAATTAACTTTTTCAAATAAATTATTTAACTTTTAAATTACAAATTTTTAAATTGTTTGTATATAAAACTAAAGAAAGAATTAAGCTCAAATATCTTTAAAATAATCATTCTCAAGCTTTATTAAAAAGATCTAAATAAAAAATTTCCAAAAAATTTAATTAAAAAAAAAATTTTAACATATTCAAAAGTTACCACTTTGTGGAGAATCACCCATTTATTAACTAAATTGACGAAAATCAAAAATCAAAGTCAATTTTTGTTATAGGGCATTAATAAGGAAGAATTACAATTATTACATATTTTTTTTATTTTTAAATTTATTTTTATGCAAATGCGAAACAAAATACTGAAACAGTAAAACTTTGATTTTCAATCTTTTTTGCATTAAAAGATAACTTACCCCAGGCGCGAAGTGACGCCGAGTTCAGGCTTTATAAAGATTGGCCGAGCATTGGTCAACATTGATTGAGCATGAGTGAATCAGCGAGAGCAGGACTGATCGAAGCTTTAATGTAACACCGATTCCAGACTGCAGCGCGAGCCTTAATTCAGCATTGGACATCAATGCTCAATCAATGCTGCGGACGCCTAACGCAGGACTGAAACAAGACTGCTTCCACTGTTCCCAAATTTACTCGTTTCTCACGTTTATTCAATATAATGTGAATATATGAATTATTAATAATAATAATAAATATTATTGTTATTATTTTAATTCATGTGCGTATATATACATATATATATATTTAATGACAATAAGTTATTATTTGTAATAATTATATTATTTTCATATAAATAAGAATATATGTATATTACTAACAATAAATATCATTTGAATAGTAATTTTAAAAAAATAATTTTAGTAAAAAAAGACAATTTTTCTGTTAATCGTTACATTTTTTTCTTGATTTTTAACAGACTTTTAACATTATTTATAAACATGTTCACATTTTTTATTCACAACACAACACACAATTTTATTATTTTATATAAACGCTTATAACGAAGAATGAAAAATATTCGCTCGCATGTGGGATCGAACTCACGCACCCCGCCCCTAACGCATACCGGAAGTCCTAAACGCACGCATTTAAACCGCTCGGCCACAGAAGGCTGGAAGGCTTCTCGCCTAATCTATTATCAATGCCAGTGCCGTCACTCAACATGGGACACCAATGTTCGTCCCATACTCGTTTCAAGTCTCAGTAATCTTGTTACAATATTCAGTTTCTTTATTACCGTGTGCATTGTACAATATTATCTATAAATATTTATAAATTATTTAATATTAAAATATTTTTTCTGATAATTTTATAAGTTAAATTATATATTATTTTTTTTCTCGCACAGTGTCAAATTATTATTTTCAAAGTTCAAGAGTTTCGTTTATCTGAAAAATTTTCAGTGAAAAAAATGTTCATTAGGTAGTAATAAATATTTATGCCTAGTAGTTTTACACTAGAATTAACTGTTTACTGAATATTATCAAAAATATATTTTTCGTCAAACGCGCGCGACTAAACACAAATACCACCATCCCATCTACTCAATGCACTCCCCGCCTGTGACGTCATGAGGGGAAAGCATTGAGTAGATGGGATGGTGGGAGCACGACAATCGCAACGTCGCGCTGTAAAG